ACCCACAAGTCCTTTTTCCCCTTTACCCCAAAAACACATTTAGCAAAAGACACTTGTCTAGTCAACACTAGAGGATCTGCCAATCGGGCTGGTCCTGCCCAGTCAGAACCTTTACATACTACCCCTTTAACTCTCTCCCCTATCACTGGGCGGGTGTGGGAATTGTGTGAGCGGGTGTATGTGGTTTGGCCCCCAGCCAAGGGCTAACCCATCACATTCCCCTCTAGGACTTCCTGGAAGTCCTGAATGTCACACTCTCTGTATCTGGACAGAAGATAAAATTTATCTCTCTCAAAAGATTCTACAAAGCTTGAAAACATACTGTTGTTTTAGCCCCCACATACTGGTTCAGGGTAGCTAAAAGTATTTTTTCAGTACTTTAAGGGCCCTACCATTCTAATTTTTCCATACCTCTTTCAGTTTCAGTAAAGTTGGTGTGATCTCCTCATCTAAGGCCTGAAACATAAAACAGAACATCTGTGTTCAGATTTTTAAAAATCTTGTATGTCTAAGCATTAATACCTAGCTCCAGGTGCAGAAATTATATATTCTACAAGCTAAAAACCACACTACACTGGTTATCCAGTTATCTTTAAAAAAATATAAAAGAAAGTATACTTTACAACATGTAGTACCGTTTGAATGTCTTTCAGTTTGGCCTCCTTTTTCTCTATGGTTTTCTGGACGGCCATTTTCTTGCATTCATACATCCGAGTACCAGCTGCTTCTTCAACCATAGCTAAAATCTAAAAAAAAGCAAACATGACAAAAATTTGATGTTTCTTCTTATGTTAGATTCAACTCAGAACTGAGCTGAACATCTCATCTCCCACTGATATCTTTATTTTGTTTTGTTCTCTCCACTCCAATATTGATCCTTGTCATTCAAAACAAATCAGTATACCTTCAGGCAAAAAAACTCCCACAACTTTCTTACCTCTGGTGGCTTCATATTTAAAACTTTGGTAATTCGTCCCTGGAGACAGAAAGACAAACAAGAATGGTGGTTGTATACTATGCAATAGTATAGTAAAAAAAAAAAAACCACAACAAAACCCCAAACCCAAAAACCCCACTCATTTTTCTATTTATACTATAAGCTCAAATATATATTATTTTCTACAAGGATAAACTAGTTTCCTCAATTGTTTTCTTCTTCAAAGTTTAAAAAAGTCACTTCTTCAGGCAGCCAGCCAGCTTGAAATGGCCTTTATATCTTATCTTAGGCTTGTCCTCCACATTCCTGATTACATCTTAAGGAAGTAATGTGCATATTTTGTTCTAGAGTCCTACTGAGTTGCTGATGTTGAACAAGGTCTTAATCATAAAATGTCTTTTTGGAGATTTAGCTCATACGTAAGTAGGGGGAAACAGAATAGGTGCAAAAACTGCCCTCCCCCCGCTCCCCTGCAAGTTGAGGCAGTTCCAATTGAAACAGTAAATCCTGCTCTGTTTTATTATTATTTTATTATTATTTGCCCAGGTGACCAAGAAGGCCAACGGCATCCTGGCCTGTATCAGAAACAGTGTGGCCAGCAGGACTAGGGAAGTGATTGTGCCCCTGTACTCGGCACTGGTGAGGCCGCACCTTGAATTCTGTGTTCAGTTTTGGGCCCCTCACCACAGGAAGGACATTGAGGTGCTGGAGCGAGTCCAGAGAACGGCAACTAAGCTGTTGAAGGATCTGGAGCACTGGTCTTATGAGGAGCAGCTGAGGGAGCTGGGGTTGTTTAGTTTAGAGAAGAGGAGACCTTATCACTCTCTACAACTACCTGAAAGGAGGGTGTAGTGAGGTGGGTGCTGGCCTCTTCTCTAAATTAACAAGAGACAGGACAAGAGGAAATGGCCTCAAGTTACACCAGGGAAGGTTTAGGCTGGATATTAGGAAAAATTTCTTCACTGAAAGAGTGGTCAGACATTTGAACGGGCTACCCACGGAGGTGGTTGAGTCACCATCCCTGGAGGTGTTCAAGAAACCTGTAGATGTGGTGCTTAGGGACATGGTTTAGTGAGTTAGGTGGTGTTGGGTTGGACTTGATGATCCTTGAGGTCTTTTCCAACCTTAATGATTCTATGATTATTACTTGCAAATATTTCAAGGATTTGTCTAGTCACTGCGTTGATGTTTATTAGAGTCTTTTCAATTAGTCAGCTCTTCTTTTGTTAGCTGTGACTTAAGAAAGCAGGTGTATCAGCTTCATTCAAAATATTGTCTAACATGGAACACACATAATAGGAAAGAAAATCTGTCTTTTTAGCACAATAGTAAAAGAAACACCTATCCGTTAAAGAGACAAAAAAGGAAAACAAAACTGGAATATGTTTTGGAAAAAGCTTGCTACATGAAGTCATGTGCTACAAGGTGTGTTTTAGGGTCAAAATATACTGTACTAGAAATCTTAACTACTTAACAGCCATTTTTTACTTGATAAGAAGTTGCTTTTCTCTGATTAGGAAATTAAGTGTTCTTCCACTATCTATCGTGCCTCAACTTCTATTCTTTTTGGATTTTAGAAAGATGCACACAATACCTGCATAATGAGGAAGTGAGGGTTATTGACATTGAGTCCAACAGAACAGAAGAGATCTTGTACACGAGTGTTGGTAGCATTCACACCATTGATAAGATACTTATTTCTACCTCCAATGACAACCTGGAGGAGTAAAAGAAATAGAAGAAACTTTAAGTGATTTCAAAATGACTTGACATTATAAGAATATGAACTGTAATAAAGAATAAAAAATCTAGGCAAATCCCATATACTATATTTTTGCATGCACATATATGCATACTACACAGAACACCAAACAGACCTTGTTGGACTGAAGAGACATTTAAAGCACCTAACTAAAACATGACAAAGATCACTCATTGAAGGCAACATCGACAAGAAAATTTCCAAACTCCACAAGCTTTCACTTGTTTTTTTTAAAAACATGGGAGACATCTTCATTAGAAAGATAAAGGTTCCCTTGTTCTTGGAGACCTAATTTAACACACAGTTCAGATATTAAGAGGAAAATACAAAAGCAGAAAAAAAAGCCACAAAATAGAAAACTATAACTTGCTCTAGGAATATTATTTAATTATTATGTTTCTGTGCAAGTGCATAGAAAACATTATTGATATAATGCTTTTAACAATATTAAACTTACTTTCCAAGTAATTCAATTTTTTTTTAATGTAGTATACTGGATCTACTTCTGCAGTTTGTGTTACTAACCACACTGTGGAAGCCTTGCCTCAATTGCAAAAACTCAGGGACTTCAAAAACTACTTTTTTTTTTTCTTGAAAAAACACTCTGTTGAGCACGTTAAGAAAGTGTATAAACTACTAAGCAATAGATATTAAAGACTCACCTGCCTAGTGACAATGATCTCATCACTAGCTTCAAATCCCAGTGGACTTAATTTCTTGTCAGAATTATCAAAGGTAATAGACACAGTTGCTTTACTAACTCCTCCTTGCCCATTTTTGTAAACTAGATCTTGCAAGTTGGAAGCTCGCACCTAAATCCATGGAACAGATAAATACATTTTTGAAAGATATTTTGAAAGATATTAATTACTCTTGTTTTGGAGAAATGAACGAAAAAAATGCAGATCTAGCTGTAGATTTAAGAGTTCATGTGAGAGACTGACCTATCAGACTGCAAGGTGCTAGCATAGCAAAACCACAGGCAGAGTGTGCCAGTCTAGTTTCAGCAAGCCAGCTAATTGTTTCTGCATGAGATTCCTAACAAAATCTGAATAATGTTAAAAAAAAAAAAAAGCCAGATGACTAGTTCACCAGCATTTACTTAAAGAGCATTTTTCATAATGCAGTTCACAGCAAAATGAATCAGAAAGTGTTCCTTCGAGGTCTGCTGGATTTGTCTACAATTCAGGGGGAAGTGTGTGTAAAAAAAATCACTTTAAGACATTCAAAACGATGTCAGAGCACACCATTTTTGTTGTAAGAGAAAAGCAGATATATCATCTTTAAAACAGCATGCATTGCATGAAAATCAGCTTTTTATTTTTTCCTGATGAACCAGCTGGCCAAATTTTAAGACCTAATCCAGAAGTGAAAAAATTTACTGCAAATAAACAAGTTAGTGCCTTTAGCTGCAAAAGATCTTTGGCTTGAGGCTGCTGCCTTTTAAGTAGGTATTTTCAGTCTAATGTTCTAAGCTACATACTTTGAGCTACTATAGTATTAATAAAATGGTAATTCACTCTTAATGAACAAATGAGCAAGAATGACAGAGACAGTTTTATGTAAAGAAAAATCCAAATAAATACAACTATTTTTTTGACAGAAGCACCACTTCAGGTCTTCCATTGGAGATTACTCAAGAGAATAATACAAAAAGTTGCTGACAGTAGAAAGACCTTTCTTAAATACCTTCTCTCTTTACCTGTGACAGATTGGTGATTCCCAACAGGAAACAGATTGAGTCCAAGATATTGGACTTGCCACTACCATTCAAGCCAGTAATGGCATTGAAAAATGGATCAAAGTCACGAACTTCCGTTCTCTGAGCATAGGATTTAAATCCTTCAAGAGCAATTGACTTGATGTACATCTTCTCTATGTTCCTAAAGGACCAGGCAAAGTAGTCCTCCCAAGAGTATGAAGAAAGGTATCTGGATTATAAATGTTCATATTTCAAAGAAAAAAAGAAAAAAGAAACAAACAAATCATACTGCATGCCAAACAAACAGCTAAATGTGAGAGAAAATGGAAAGAACGCGTGCCTTTTACAACAAAAAAATTATGCATTTATAAACAGAAAATTCCAAGAAGACCCTAGATCCAGGAAGCACCCCAGCAATAACCTGTGCTTCAAGATTTTTAAGAGACGTGCCGTTACACAACGTTCATCACAGCATTTATACGAAGACTGTGGCATAACCCTGTTTCTCACAAAGCTGGCCGTTAGTCCATCAGCCAACAAAGGGAAAGGCACGGAACTCTCAGAACCCGGCAGAAGGAAAGGAGCCTCCTTTTCCAGCCTGCAGGACTGCGACCTGCTCAGCCCCACCGCACGGAAGGGCTCAAAGCCCAGAAAAGCGACAGCCTCGGCTCTGAGGCGCCGCGAACACAAGCCCCATCCCTGCCC